TCACATCTTTCTAGCACTAGGACATTTTGGATACAATAAGTCTTTGAAACTAATATCTAAAGTTTTTTGGTAGTTGCAAATGTAAAAGGCTATAAAAGGCTTTGTTCAATCATGTGACATTTGTTTAAGATCAAAAACTCCTTAACATCAATCTTATAGAATTCTTCAATCATTATCTATTTCAAAACAACTATGGTCTTTTATTTCTATGGATTTTATTATTGATCTTCCAATCACAAGATCCTATAATTCTATATTTGTGATGGTAGATCGTTTTACCAAAATAGCATATTTTATACCATGTACAAAATCTATCACAGATGAAAAAATTGCTAAGCTTTTCTTTGATAATATCTATCAATATTATAGATTGCCAAAAGATATTATATCAAATAAGAGAACTCAATTTGTATCAAGATTTTGGAGAATTCTTTTTAAGATTTTATAGGTAAACATAGAGCTTTCTTTGGCCTTTTATTCTCAAATTGATGGATAGATAGAATACGTAAACCTAGTTTTGGAACAATACTTAAGATGTATCATCAATTATCAACAAGACAATTAGATAAACCTCTTGCCATTGGCAAAGTTTGCTTATAATAATATAATGCATTCTTCTATACAACAAATACCTTTCTTTGTCAATTATGGTTACCATCCACGAGTTAATACTTTTGACTTTTTAAAAGTTAATAATCATGCGACAAAAGATTTGACAAATTGTTTGTCAGAGCTATATAACAATAAAGGTGTAATTAAAGGAAGCTCAAGAATGAAAAAAAATCAACGTAGATGCCTATCGAAAAGAACAACCACAATTCAATGTAGGTGACAAGGTATAGTTTCTTCATTGTAATATCAAGACTACTTGTCTTTGTAATAAGTTGGACTACCACAAGCTTGGACCTTTTTCTATTTGTAGAGATATCAATTTAGTTGCTTATCAATTACATCTATCGAAGGCAATGAAGATCCATCATGTCTTCCATGTATATCTTCTTAAACCATACAAGACTATGAACATATTAAAAAAAAGAAAAGCTTCACCTCTTCTTATAGAAGTGAACAATAATGAAGAGTTCAAGCTAGAAGAAGTTCTAGATTCAAGGTGGTGCCACAATACATTAAAAAATCTTGTCCATTGGTGTAGATATGATATTAATAAATGCATATGGGAGCTAATAAAGAATCTTACAAATGCAGCAAAGGTAGTGGAAGTTTTTTATTGATGACATCCATCTAAATCAAGATGAAAAATAGTAAGTCTTTACTATAAAAAAAAATAATATCCAAAAAAAAATTACATTCTACTTTCTATCTTTTTTTGTAGCTTCTATGTATTTGTGATACTAAAGAGATAGAAAATCAACAACTAGTAGATTCAACTCAAGAGCTTTCATTTGCAGACTTAGTAAATGAGACATTAAGATTGTCACAACCTTCAAAAAAACAAAATCAAGATGAAGATCCTCAAGAATGACATGTCCTTCTTCAAATTGATGGCAAGATACAATAAGTTTAATATCACAACCTTTGAAAAGACTCTCAATGTTTGGTGATTTTATTAGAGATAGAAACAACTCCTAACGATATTACAAATGTTTTATTTGAAGGAAGTTATGAAGGCCTTAACAATAACCAAATAATAGAATAGACTTCTTGCCCTTACATGGGACACTATTGATGGCTGAAAGGGCCTATCGACTATCTTCAAAGGGAACAAAGATCAAAATATGTGGCAAATACAATTTGCCACATCTTGGATTTTTTCAACATACAAAGATTGCTCTTCATAGAAGTCATTCCTAGAAGGAAAAATAATATATATATATATATATATATATATATATATATATGAATAATTATCTATATGATTTAGATAATAGTAGGTAAAAGTAGGTTAATTCCATAATATTCCTAGTTAGATAATATATATAGAAGCAAGAGTGAAGCCCTCTTCACTTTTGTCAACTCCTTTCTTGCTTCTAGACTAGATTTAAGAATCTCTAGTTTTCTTATCATTTTGTAATAGATATTCTAATTTCTTTTTAATATACATACTACTTTATTTCTATTTACTACTTTTCTTTTGACATAAATTTTTTAAATTTATGCATCTTCTTTTAGTTTATATCCTTCATAGATATTTAGAATCAAAAGGGATGCAATGAGCAATGTTATGAAATATAATACAAAATTAATTATCTAAAACTATTCATAAATTATTGATGTTGATTTCAATAAAATATTTGTTCTTGTGGCCAAATTCACTACTATTAGAACTACTGTGGCAATTGGGACAATAATGGACTTTGAGATACATCAAATAGATCTGAAAATGGCTTTTTTGAATAGAAAGTTAAATGAAGATATATACATGGATCAATTTTAAGGATTTTTTGAAGAAAGCAAACAACACCTTGTTTGTAAGTTGAAGAAATTTTTATATAGACTAAAATAATTATTAAAGGCATAATACCAACATATTGATACATTCTTTGTGAATGAAGGATTTCTTAAGAGTGTAGCTGATCACTCTTTATATATGATGCAATCAAATATTTTCATATTGATTTTCATCTTATATGTTGATGATTTAATTATATTGAATAACACCATAAAGAAGATAGATTAGTTGAAGGTAAAGTTAGAGAAGAAGTATGAGATGAGTGATTTAGAAGAGCTCTATTATTGTTTAGGAGTGGAGTTTGTAAGAAATCATGGTAATAAGACCATTATAATGAATCAAAGCAAGTACATTGAAGAGGTGTTGAAATAATTCAACATAGAAGAATGTAAGCCCATTGAAACACCTTTGGAGGTAAATTTGAAGTTGATGAAGCTCACAAATGAAGAATTTATTGAAGTTGAAGATAAAATGAAAGATGTTATATACAAGGCAGTAATAAGCTCACTTATATATGCAATGGTTGGCACAAGGATGGATCTTACATATGCAATGAGTATTGTGAATTAACATATGTGAAAGGCTAGACCAATCCATTGAGCAATCATCAAGAGGATTTTGAGATACTTGAAAGACAATCTAAACTTCAAATTATATCTTGGAAGAAATAATATTGCATTGTATAGGTATTGTGATGTAGATTGGATTGGAGATACAAATGATAGAAGATTAAATATAGAATATATATATTCTTTATTAGAGTAGGATCAATCTCATGAAATTATAAGAGACAACCAATAATTGCAAGATTAATAATAGAGACGGAATACACTGCAGCAAGTTAAGGTACAATAGAGGTAATTTGGCTAAGAAAAATTTTAGAAGACATTAAACTTGTAAAATTGGAAGTAACTCCAATGAAGTGTAATAACTAAAAATATCTTATTTTTATAGAGAATCCAAAGCATCACTTAAGAATCAAGCATATTGATATTCAATATTACTTCATAAGAGAAGAGATTGAAATGGTAGTGATTGATATGAAGTATTAAGTAATAGAAGACATATTTGCTGATTTGCTAACAAAAGCATTAGTAAATGATAGGTATCAAAAGTTAATTAGAGCAGTAGCTTTAATAGGCTTTGATTAATATTAAAGTAGAAGTATTAAAATAAAAATAAAATATAATTATTTTAGATAAATTACTAATGGTCAAATGATAATAAAAAATGAAAGTAACTTACTAATGTGGCAGCTAAAATTTGATATGGTGGCTAAGTTAAGATGAATCTAGGATTTATTTGAATAGATGAAGTTCAACTATAATAGATGTAAATTCCTCCTATAAGTAAAGAATATTAGAAGTGAAAGGCATCTCATTCTACACTTTTTTTGTGTGCAACAATTTTGATTTTTACTTACTTGTGTCTTATTTGTTATATTTCTTTAATATTAGTCTAAAAATAAATTGATCTAGAACCATTCACTATGATAATGAAGTTAATATGGAAATGGCAACCAATCTAGATATAAGTCAATAAACAAAATATATTATGGCATATAATAATTTTCTTCTAAAAGGATCATAAGTGGAAATATACACCTTCAATTTGTTCCATCCATAGAAAAAAATATAAATTTCTTCACCAAGTCCTTATGAAAGTATTTATTTTAAAAATGTAGACAAAAACTCTAATTACGCAACTATTATAATATTGCTAATCCAATGAGAATTCATTCAAATATTGACTAACTATCTAGCTTAATATAGATATTAGTAAATAATAGCTTTTACCTTCCAGATATCTTTATCGCAAATAGCAACTAATTACTTAATGTAACCTTTTTGATTACAAAGCTACTATTCTTGTTCTAGCATGAAGTTCTTCCGCAAATAACACATTTTCTTCAAATTACTCTACAATTTATAAATCTCATCTAAATAATTTAGATCTTCAATCAATCAAAGAATAATCACACTAGTTAGTTGCTTCATTGACATGAAACACAAATCAAGAGCTTCCTTCTTCATTTCTTTTAAAGCACTTTTAAAAACATCTTCTTAAAAAAAAAAAACTACTTGTCTCTTTTTTGATTTCTGCTTTGAATTTTTGATTTTGAAATTCTCTAGTATGAGCTAAAATTAACTTTTATTAATTAGAAGGTTATTTTAGTTCACAACAAGTGAAATATTATGTAATTTTTAGAAGTTATAGCTATTATTTAAATTCTAATCAAACCAATCTTTATTCTTCTTAAATCACCCAAATAATCAAGCAAAACCTCTATCAATAACTCATACATACAATAATAAATCATTCACAAAATTCGTGTTCAAAGAATTTTCTTCTCATAGTTATTATTTTTTTCTTGTTTATTTTGTTTTTTATTTTTTTTCTTGATTTATTTTTTATTTAATCAAAATTCATCCATTGACAAATAATCATTCAAATATAAGTTATCATTTGCAAATAACTTCTCATCCATGCTAAAAAATTCATTCTTAATTAAAAAACTCCATCCAAACATAAGTTCATCCAATTCTAATTCAACTTCATCCAAGTTCTTAATTGTCAATCAATTACAATTAAGTATCTTAACCACAAATTTATTCACTAGATTAAGTCCAAACAACAAGTGAAATATTTTTAGTAATCAAATTCTAATCAAAATATGCACTCACACCATGTAGAGTAGATAAAAACTGCCTTTTGCACTCTAAACAAAAGCCACCTTTGAAGCTACTGGCATAAGTAAAACCGTTGCCTCTCCTGTTGGTTCGATTTGCTCCAGCCGAGCTACACCTTTTTGCCTGTTCACCTAGCTGATGGAAGAACAAACAAACCGCCACCTACATCTCTCTTGCCATGAGTTGGAAACAACAGAGCTCAGACTGCCGGAAGCTGGATTCCTCGCCGCGGGATGGATAAAAGAGATCAAGGTACCCTCTGAGAAAGTTGGCCTTTGAATCAAGTCTTAAAAACAGTGATTGCTTTGAATATCCTTCACGTCCAACCCTCCAACGAGTTTCACCAAACGAGTGTGTCGGATCAAAAATTCCAAAAATCCATAAAACTGCTTTTGGAGCTACCGCCACAACTTGGCCTCGAGTATCAAAACTCCGGAAATCCATCCAAATTTATCACTTCCAATATTGCCGGCAAAGATGCAAGAACAGACCTTAAAACAACGTTTACTACAACCATTACAATTTGCACTTAATGTTCATGTCACTGCTCAAACGAGCCACATCATCTCATGACCAGGGGTGACAACCCTCCTTCGCTCACTAATGTTCCTTACACAATGACTGACCTCATTGCAACATATCTACCCCACAAAGGCAGAACCAACGGCACTTATTCTTCAACAATCAACTCATCGAGTATTGATCTCAACTAATGAACCTTATCAACTGCTTTTTTTTTTTTTTTTTTTTTTTTGAAATATTCAAATCAAATCAATTCCAGGCAGTGATTCCATCGCTACTGAACTCCAATAGCTTCCAGCTTTAGCTCCTCCAGTTTAGAAGCAAACTGGCAAGACGATTAGACGTACACCGAACAGGATTATTGCGAATCCGATCTACACGGAATCCTCTATCACCACATCTGGAGATGATTTGTCTCGCGCAACTCACTTGATCGAGCTTGAATATTCACGTCTTACGCAGTGTCAATAAGAATTGAGCCAACACGCAAGGGCACCACACCGCCTTCTGCACTGGACGCCGCAGCTACATCAAGAACTAGAGAATCCACCGCCTAGTCGCTCTGGACAAAATTGCGCCAACAACAATTCTGCTCACATCAACCCGCGTTGAAGCTCCGCTTACGCCGCACCTCCGTATTGTAGGAGTAACTAGAAGAAAAAATACAAAAAATGAGGAGCCGCAGATCTAATAGCCATAGTTGCACTAAAACCACAAGCAGGTTGCCACTACAATGCCAACGTTATCGAATCAAACAAAGATCCCCTGAAAACACGACCGCACTGCGGTATCACTGCCGCTTCTGATTTCCGGCTCCACACTAATCACAAAACAAAAGAAGAGGATGTTGCACCACAGCACCTCAACAAAACAAAAAGAAATCCCTGCAGCCACAAAAATAGGCGATGGAACGCACTCAAAACTTCGGAGCTCCTCCACCAGCTCACGAAAACGAAAGAAAAAATAAGAGATCAAAATCTGGGGCGGCCCGGACTCCTGTCGGCCCTCGGAATTCAGGGGCGACCTCATCGTCTTTTCCCTTCCTTTATCTTTTCTTCTCTACTTTCTTTTCCGCTTCTTTTTTTCTTCTTTTCTCCTTTGGTTTTGTCTTCCTCTACTATTTTTTTGTCTATTTTTTTCTATTTACTATTATTATTATTATTATTATTATCTTTTTCTTTGGACAACTAATGAATTTGTTTTTTTTTTTTTTTAATTCGTTCTTTCTGGATAGGTTTGAATCAACAATTCTTCCTCAACTTTCTATTTTAATTAAAACAATTAACGACAACAAAACTGCAGCTTTTGTATTAAATACACAAGTGAGTCAATTCCGTGACTTACACCTAACTACATCAACTTTATAATCAGCAATCTTCTGGATCCCGAGGTCAACATCTTTTACAAGCGCACTAGAGCTCAGGTACACATTCTATGCAACCTCACTTATAAAAAGCAAAGACACTAAACAATTTGAATCGTAGACACCAGACTCCTTCTCTGTCTATACCACACAAAATTCAGGACAAGAGAACACACCTTCTCTTTCACAAAACCAAAACAAGGAAATCAATACGGCAATCAAACACCAACGCTCCTCAAGTGTTATCGTAACCAGCACAACCTCTTAGTCATTATAATAATGGCAAAAGTATAAATACAAATAAGTGAATTTCCATAGCTCAATCTACCGCCCATATTAGAATAGTTAGAATGTTGATAGGGTTTCTTTGCAGTACTCTGCATTCTCTACGGTTGCAAAGTAAGGAGGCGTGTTGGCATAACCTCCTCATAGGAATGGAATAAAGGTCACATTCATTCTATGACAATGTTAACCCCGATAATTTGCATATATAAGTGTACACTTGTTCCGGGTGAAGTTGGTTGAATATGTCTCGCGTTATTCCATTCCCACACCTGCCGCTTCAGCGACACATTTAACGGGGATTGATGCACGAAAACAATTTTTCCTAAGTGCCTAGTGCTAAAACAGAACTTGCAGCAAATGGTTTTGCCGTAGTGGTGGATGATCGAGTTGATCTGTGTGTGGTGGAATGCAGGTAGTAACCGTAATCAGTCTATCTCCTTTCCAACAATGTCTACTGCTTGCCTTTACCGATTGTTTTGTTTTTTGCCACTTAATGCAGAAGTTTCTACGATTCATTACGTAGCTTGTTCATTTCTGGTAATTCGCACATGAGTATTCCTTCTAGAAATAACCGATGAACCCACGGCATATTCTCGCCATTCAACCTGACAATCTCACAACCTATGCATTTGTTTAAAGCATTTTGTTTTTAGTTTCTTTTTAGTTTCTATTGACAAGATAGGAGGCGACATTGGAATAGCACTTGCTGGAACCGATGATTGTGTACATTATTGTAAGAAGTCTGTTTTGTGAGGTCCGGCAATGGGTTGTTGGTGTTGCTGGTTGAGTTGTTGGTGATGACGTTTTGGAGGAATTGAGATGGTGAGCGATGGTAGTATGAAAACGGGAGTTGGTAGTGATGGTGTGGTGACGTTGATTGAAAGGTTTGGGATATGGAAGTGTACAGTGCTGGTTGGGCAACGTTTATTGAATTTTGTGACGCTTCTTCTTTGAGGACATACTTTGGAGTATAGCGTTGTGATCAAGCAATATTTTATTATCAAAAGTCGACTGGCTTTTTTGTTTTCAGATAATTTTGCATTTGATGTTTGCAATCTTGGTGGCCACAATCTTAATTTTATTCCCATTCCTGCAATTGCCAACATATTTTATACCAAAATTTAGTCATATTTAGTTATAAGTACTGATCGGCGAATAAATATTTCATCCAAATAAGGCACTATGAATCTGCTAGAGGCTTTGGGAGGAGAATTTGAGCAATTATTATTTTTTAGTACTCTAAAGTGTAGAATTGAATACTAAAAAGAGAAAATGATAACTTTTCTCAAGCCTTCTATAAAGAAACCATAAATAGAAGAATTTTGTACTTGACTTTTTTGATTCTAGACTACACGCATTTCACATCCTTCAACAATCATCTTTCTCTCCTCTACAACAAAAGCTAAGATATCATTGTTAAATATGGATTTATATAGAAATTTTATAAGAAATAAAGTCATTTTATTATTTTATATTTTTTATATTAAGTTTTTATTTTTATAGTTATATTTATATTTTTTTAGAGTTTTTATATTATATTTATTATATTACATTTCATTATATTATATCTTTGTTGTAAATATTTTTATTTTTTATTTTTTATTTTTTATTTTGTAAAAAAAAATTAAGTAAAAAAGTTTTATTGGAATTTTGAAGTATTATTAACTACAATAAGAATTGCTATACAAAAATTTAATTGTAGGAATTTCATTTTGTACTTTTATATGAAAAAATTTATATTCAATTTCATATATATATATATATATATATATATACATGTATCAATTTTTATCTATAAATATATATATATATACATGTATCAATTTTTACCTATAAATATATATATATATATATATCTTTTAATAAATATTATTTAATAAATAAAATTTTAATATTTATAAATTTTATTTATTCATTTTGGTTTGTAAAATATAACATTTTGGAACATTTGAGCTTTTTGGTTTACAAAATTATTGTAAAAATATGTATAATTGTGATCAATAAAAATGCATAGATATAGAATATTTTTGTTAAAGCACTATGGCATTATAATTTGACTAATTAAATTATATGCACTCATTTTTATTTTACAGATACTATATAATTTTGCTAAAATACTCAAGTAGTAATAAGATTTTATTAAAATTTTATGGATGTACAATTTTGACACTTATAAGCTTACTCCAATTGTTTGGTCAAACTTCTACTATTCTAAATGGTCTAGCTTTAACAATGAATCACAGAGCAATTGCTCAATAATAGAGTAGAAAACATGAAAAAGCACAAAGAAAAGTTGAATTAATTATAAGTCTTGAAGCCATACATAATCTAAGAAAGATGAATATTTTGTATCCTCATTATAATACATTGCATTAGTTTGATGAACATATAGCCTGATTTCTAAGAGAGTTGCTATTATTTGGACAATATTGTTATCAAGGAAAAATTTCTCTAATATCTCTACTTTCTCCACCTTTGCTTTTGATGCACTTATTTAAAAGACCAAGATGCAAGAGCAAGGAAGTTCTAAGAAAATATCCATCAGTACAATATTGCACATGCATTGACATCTTTAGGTGCTAATATTGACTGATTTGTGCTTCAAAAAAATGTTCTATATGGTTTTAAAATAAATAGAGAGTTGTGCCACTTAGCAAGAGCATTATTATCAAAAAAAAGGTATCGATCCAACTTATAAGCAATTTTATATCTATAATACATTATTTGTATTAGATAGAAGAATGAAACGTGATTGTGGTTTATTAAGTCAAATTATGTGAGAAATTATAGAAGTTTAGAAGAAAAATAATTCATTTATTACATTATATAGAAAGACATATGAAATACTATTTTAAAGGCAAAATAAAAAAGTTGTTAAGGATATGAATCTTAAAGAAAGAAAATCTTCAATATACTCTTTTGATAGTGAAAAGAACTAGAAAGTCACTCAAAGATGATATATTATTGAATTAGAATGGCTATTATCAAAGATAAGAAGACCAGAAAGTCTTGAAATAAGACTAAAGACTAGAAAGGCATTGATAAGAATGAAGAAGGCTTCATTCTTACTTCCATATATACTCTTAACTAGGAGCTACGTGGCGATGTGCTATAGGACTTCCAAAACATGTTGACTTTGCAAGACACATGTCTTAATTGGTAATGCAAGTTTTTTATATGTGCGCCACATAGTTAGCTTGTTCCACAAACTACCAATACATAGTTAACTTGTTGACTAAGTTTCTAACTTATCAATCAACTACAAATATATGTAAAGTCAAAATAGAGTCTATGAAACTTCTAAAAAGCTTCTCTAAAAGATATTAGAAAATTAACCTACTTTTATCTACTTCTACTTAATTATATAGGTATTTACTAAAATACCTATGTATATCCATGACATTATCCCTCTTTCTAGGAATGAGTTCCATGAGGGACAATTTTCATATGTTGAGGAAATTTAAGATACAACAAATTGTATTTGCCACATACTCTAATGTTTATTATCTTCAAAGATGGTTGATAGGTCCTCTCAGCCATCAATAGTATTTCATACTAGGGCAAGAAGACTACCTTGTTATTTGATTGTTGTTGAGGTCTTTGTAACTTCTTTCAAATAAAATATTTAAAATATTGTCAAGAATTGTTCCTACTTCTAATAAAATTACCAAACATTGAGACTTTCTTCCAAGGTTATGATACCAAATACATTATATCTTGCCATTTATTCAAGAAAGGACATGTTATTCTTCACGATATTCATTTCAATTTTGTCCTCTTAAAGATTGTGACAATTATAATGACTTGTCTTGTACGTTTGCGAATAAAAGCTCTTAAATTAAATCTGCTAGTTGTTGGTTCTTCATCTCCTTAGTATCACGAATACAAAAAAGCTAGAAAAAAAGATGGAATGTAGAATGTTATCTTCTTTTGATCTTATTTCTTTTATAGCAAAGATTTGATACTGTCACGGCCATAATCATGTAAGCTAATAATTACATATAGAAATAGGTAGAAGTAAGTAAAAGTAGATAAAAGTAAGCTAATTCTATAATATTTAATATAGAAGCTTCCTAGAAACTTCCTAGATGCTGCTTTGACTTCATAGGTGTCTTTAATTGACTTTTTGGATTAGAAACGTGGTCAACAAGTTGGCCATGTGCCACACATGTTGTTAGCTTGAAGATCAAGCTAACTATGTGGCCCACACGTAGAAAAACTTGCCTTGTAAGTCAAGGCATGTGTCCTACAAAGTCAACACATATTAGAGGTCTTATAGAACGTCGCCACGTAGCCCCTAGTTAGATAGTATATATAGAGACAAGAGTGAAGGCTTCTTCACTTTTGTCAACTCTT